TGTAAATGAGCAGTATTTTGAAGATAACAGACAAATGAGATTTTCATTATCCATGAAATCATACCATTATGAATAGTAAAGACAACTATTAATGACAGACAATTAAACTAAACATTTTTATCGCAATTTGGTCAAAACTATGTTTGCCTTTATAATTGTTCAACATTTCATATTTTATTTTTAAAATGCTTACTTAAATAAAAATTTTCAGGTGTATATATATGCTGTACATACACGACATAAACATTACAAATGGATATCTCATTTGGGATATTTTGTTCTGGCAAATTTGTTGTTTTTGGTTACCGAAATAATACTGTTAGTTAAACTATCAAAACAAATTCCTTATATTCTGAAATGAGTCTGGAGCTTATATATTCAACATACAATTTTATAGCAAACAAAATGTGTTCTCTTGGGAAACTCACCTGATCATAGTGATCAATCAGTCAGATTTTAGTATCTGATAAGAATAACAAGCCGACGACTTGGTATCTTCATCGTTGTATGTATGTACGTACGTAGATTCCTCCGTTTACGGAGCACCCCTCGAGAACTGTGAGGGTACAGTGGAATCCTGTGTACACTCCCTATCGGGATTAATGGAGATGTGTCACTTACGTATTTACAATGTTCAATATTTACAAGGACAATCCCCACCCCAACACCATGCAGGGAGTGTAAGGACACCGGGCGGATCTGTTATTATGGTGGAGGAAGCCGAAGTACACAGAGAGAACGACGGGAACAGACAAACCGAAGAGATATCAGCAGATTGATCTCCAGGTCAAAGTCGGGAGCAACTTTGACCAACCGAGGCCCCCATAGTACCCATTCTAGTTTAAACTCCGGTCTGGGTACCAGAGATGTGTGTGAGAGGGTGAAAATCACCCTTCTGATGAACTGATATTTTTAGCACCCTGAGTGAGAATCGAACTCGGGACCTTCAGCACTGTAGCCATCGGTCTTAACCACTAGACCACGAACTCGTTTAAAAGTTATAAATCATAACAATTTTTTTTTGATAATTCCTTGATATGAATAAAAAATGCTACCTGATGATAGCACTTCTTTTTTTACATCAGTCCTGGTAATCCAGGAATTCGACAATGTTGTTGTATTCGACAACGTTGTCTAATTCAACAACTCTCTTAAACTTTATGCTATTAAACATATCTTTATAAACAAATGTGATTTTAACTGTAAAATATGTATAATAATAAAGATAACTTAAAATACCGATGTTGTTTAGTGCTGTATTCATTTCGCGACAGTTTTTTTGACAGTTGTCGAATTCAACAACTTCCTGTCGACAATATTTTTGACCTTTTAAGAACTTTTGAACATGTTGAAGGATATAACCTTTATTTCCAAAAATAAAAATGTAATGAACGTAAGTATCATTTATTTCACTTGATTAGTCTACATATATAGATCACTCTCAGGAACATGTTGTTTAAGAAAGTCTCCAACATCCTGTAAGTTGGTAGAATTGTCAAATTCTAATTGGAAAAGACATTTCAGTTTTGGCCCTTGTCTGTCATGAATGATCTCTCCAGTGAAAAAGCAAACTGCATGCTGGAGGTTACCTCTATGCAACATGCCTAAGCTTATTACATTGCAAACATGTCTAGGTACATGTCCTATTGGCTGTCCCAGTATTTCATTAACAGTTTGTCTTCTAGGTTCAGGTCTAGTCTCCATGTTAATAAGATGGTTATGAACATGAGCTGGGGCTCTCACTAATACGGCATGTTGGTCAAATCAGAAGATATTTTACATACAGTCAGGGGTACTACTTGTACAAGTAATCTTTATTTACTTGAAGAAGTAAATAAAATATACTTATACAAGTTAATTATATTGTTTGAATAATCTCCCCTTAATTTTCTTAAAAATTTACTTGTATAAGTAAATTTTTTTTACAATCCCACAAAAATTCTCAAGTTTTGAGATGTAAAATCATGCCTTTAACAATTTTTCTCAGGTTAGCTCATAATTTTTGACAAGAGTTCAATGTTTCATCTCATTAATTCAACAAAGAAACTGATTGAGCAAAGATCTTAAGTATTTGTGCAAGGCCTTCAAAAATTGCTCCTTGGGGGCTTGTAAATGAGCAGTGTTCTAAAGATAACAGACAAATGAGATTTTTATTGTCCATGAAATTACACTTAAATGAATAGTAAAGACATCTGCAAAGGACAGACAACTCAAAATTCTGTTAGAGCAAAGAAGTTCTAAGAATTCAAGAAAAGAAGATAGGAAGACTTGTTTACTTGTTTAAGTAAAAAAATCTGAATGTCTAAGGGACATAAGTAGGCCAAAAAATAATTTACTTATACAAGTAAATAAAATACACTTGTATAAGTATCCTACAAATTTACTTATATAAGTACATGTATATTATAATTACTTCTTCAAGTAAATAAAAATTACTTGTACAAGTAGTACCCCTGACTGACATATAGAAAGGGGGGTCTCAAAACATACCACCACTACCAGACCATTTTATTTTTGTAATTTTAAAAAAAATTTTAATAAATGAACTTAGCGATTATGTACCTTTATTTCAGGACTAAATGGGGAAAATTAGGGAAAAAAAGACACAACACACTCGCCAGACATCATTAAAACCTGAGTACAGCCGTATATGCAGAAGTAGTATTCATGACAGACATAGCACTGCAGTACTTGCAAAAACGTGTGGGAAACACTTGAGAAAAAAAGATTTAAAATGGCTAATTGAGAATAAACTGTTGTCCCCTCATGCCAAATGGGTCTGTAAAGACTGTTAACTATATGCAAATAGTCGTCTCGAAAAATCTTCCTTGAATGTTTCCTCTAGATCTATTGAAGCTGATATTGATGAAGAGTCCATGCATGCAAAGAAAAATAGGCTTAAAAAAAACATAAAAAAGCAACAGCAAACACAAATGATACACGCCGGTTCTTAAGACCGTTCTCTGAGAGATCCAACAAACATGGAACAGTTGGTGTAAATAGGGAACCAACCAAACACATAATTTGGAAGATTTTGGATTCCCGATGTAATAAACTAGTGAAATAATCATTAATAAATTTTAACATGGAACTCAAAGTCAACAGACTTTTACCGAAATTCTCATTGAGGTAGCACACCTGCAATATGTTGACCTCCTGTTATTTACGTTCTCTATGTACTTGATTTCTTTCTTCCCCTTTTTCCTCTCCATGTCAGTTGACTTGGAGAGTTCTAACGAACTCTTTACTTTAGCATAATACTCTAAACCGTTGTCCATATCTGGTAGAAAAAATAGGACAAACAAATAAGGCACCTGCACAATTTGATGTATGAAAAAAGGGGGGGTTCATGTCGGCACAATAATATGTTTTAGTCGACTTCGCAGGCCAGATAATTTGTTCCACAATAACCATATAAGCAATGCTGGAATTTGAAAGAGAGAAACACGGCGTCAGGTTATATTTTTTACAAAATATTTTTAATGTAACTCATGTGTTCATGTTTTGAGACAGCCCTGCTAAGATTCCGTGTGAAATGTTTACTTACGGCAATATAAGAGGGCTTTTCATATACAGGTAATTGGAACTTTTAATATCGACCTTATCATATATTTCTGATAGTTTTCCCCACTTTTTCTCATATTTTCAAGCTGGAAAATGTGACCTATTCCAGCGGCACGTCCTATCACCTTGTATTTAGGAAGTGCCCCCCTCCCCTGTGCCTGTAAATATAGAAAAGGATAAACTTCATTAACCCCACCCCCTTTTCCGGTAAAAGGAAAGTGGTATTATATTAGTATTTCATACTAGAATAGAGGATTATAACGATGTTTAAAGGTTAACATAAGAAATGCCCCAATGCTGGGAACATTATTTGATATGTTTGCTCAAATGGGCAAACATGAGCTAGATTATTTTTGAAGCTAATGTTTAAGGTGTAAATCATGTTTGAGATAGCCCGACAGGTAAGCCTGCCAATGAAAAGACAGTACACTTCCATGACCCCGGCAATGACCTTCATTGAAAGATTTAACGGGAAAGCGTTATCAAGTAATATTTCACATCAGAGGATAAATGTTCAACCTCAAAAATTGTATATATGCTCTAGTAAATTTTATATATTTTCTAAACTTACCGACAGAACTCTTTTAACAACTGGCAAAATGAAAATATGATATCTGGCGCGATTTGTTATCAAAGGGAGATAATGCCAATGTTCAATGGTGCATGCCGATATGTTTACGTACAGGATTGTTGAATTCGACAACGTTTGCATTGAGGAACCAAGAATTGTCGAATACAACAACGTTGTCGAATTCCAGGATTACCAGGACTGACATTGAAAATTAGTCATAACTAAAATCCCTAACAACCTTGAGGATCAACATTGGAAACGTTTCTGTATTTCTGTTGTTTTTTTTTTTTCTCAACAGATTCTGAAGTTAAAAATATGCTTGAATTTAAAAAATAATTTATACAGCTTCCACTTTCACAGGTAACGCCTGCCTCATAGTACACACCAAACAGGTTATCATATCATATTATTTTGGGTGACTGGTTTTTTATAAACAATCCTGGTCAACAGCTATTAAAATGTTGTCCAGAACAAATTTATGTAATTCACAAAATGATTCAATATGGTGATTGGTGTGAATTTCAATATACTTGATCTTGAGATATAATTTACTAAATTTAGTATTAGCTGCTTTAACTTGTGAACAATGTGAATGCAGATTTATCATTTCTTTTCTTATTTAAATTGCAAAGATGAAAATTCATATTATTGGTAATGGTTAGCACATTTATTCAACAAATGAACTTTGGACTCAACAATACAACATTACGCAAGCACAAAAACGAAAAAAACAAGCGAAAAATAATCATCTATGAGATTTGGACTAAAAAAATCGATTTTGAAGATGCATATTTCAATATGCTATTATTGACTTCTGAAATATAATCAATTTAACCCCTATTTTCGTAAATACTCGATAAAATACCTGTTTTATAACCGCTTCTCATGAGCGTAGCCATTGCTTGTTTGAAAACAAAACGAATGACGACACATGTCGTTAATGGATCGGTTGGATGGGAAATCAAAATTAATCAAGATAATTGAAAACAAAAAAATTAATACTATAAATGATTGACAGATATGACAACATGAGCCGGATTTATATCAGAACTTAGGTATTATTAAGATACAATAATTGTCGTAAAGCACAGTATTCATGTAGCTTTCCAAAAAGCTAACCCAGCAGTAATTTCGGAAACTTCGGATGCGGTACCTCGAATGACCGAATAACACCGTTATTATCCAAATAACACTTGTAATGACCGAATAAAACTTGAAATTTTAATATGAGGAAGGCGCTACCTTGAATGCCAGCTTACCAAGACTTTGTCCTACATATTGATTGATTGTTGGTTTGCTTAACGTCCAGTGGCAAATATTTCATGCATGGTCAGGACGAATGTCCTACATATAGTTAAAGTTTTTGTCTAAAATAAAATAATAAGGTCAGATAGAAAATGTTAAGGGAACGATCATTGAACTTCAAAAGGCAGAATGGAGTATGTTTTTTTTTCTTCAAAAATATTCCCAAATTGATGAAAAAAAATATTCTAATCAAGCAGAGGACAAACAAATATTCTTAATCCAGATTATCCCCATACCTTCTAGTGTTAATTTTTGACCAAATAATTTTGATTGATAGCGTTGAAGCCCTTTGCGTGAAAAAAAATCGAACTCAAACAAAAAACCATACCCCCACCCCGCCCTTTTGAAGCTAAATGGTTGCACCCTTAATGTCTAACTTGTTTTCTGCTGAAAATAAATGTATTGGTGATTTATTTAAATGACAATGCTTAAATTCATTATCTTGTGCCATTTTCAAATCCATTTTTCTTTCTTTGCAAATTTTACAAAATTTAAAACAATAAGACATTTGTTTAATTTCAAAACTATGAATACTGTTATACAATCCATAACTTTATTAAATAATTTTTTTGTTGATTTTCATGAAAAGGTGGAGGATTTGGAATATCTTTTTCATCAATATCTAAAAGTTGTAGCTATTTTTTTTATTTAGTAATGCAAACAACGCTTTCTGTTTGTTGAATTATTTTTACTTTCTAAATTAGCTGGATGTTCATATTGTATTCCCAGTTTCCTGCATCTCATATATATGTGATCAGCAAGAGGATCATTCTGATTGTTAAAAGAAGAGTTTGAATTTACAGTGAGCCTGTTTTAGAATAATGTTTTGATCAGGTTTTTCATTTTGATCTAAGCATAAGGAACCATAAATAGGATTGTTAAGTTGATAATCTAAAGATTTTGCTATTTTATAGGATGCTATTGAAAATTTGAGGGGGGAGAACACTGCTCAGCAGTATAAATGTATTCCTGATCATCTTCTGTTTAAATTGTGGGTTTCTACATCAATTTCATGTCACGGTACTAATTCAGAGTCAGTTTTAAGTCATTTTTGCATTTTGTTTTATTAGCTTACTCTTCAAGTTTTTATACGAATGCAAAATAAAATTCAGAATGGAAATGGGGAATATGTCAAAAATTTGCTTTCGAGTAATGCAATCATGTCGCTGTTGTTGTCCAAAGACACATTTGGTTTCCGGACAATAACTTTAGTTCAAGTAAATGGATCTCTATGACAATGTATGAAATTGTACCAGCAGGTTCAACTTCAATACACAAAAGGAAGGTTAGAATTGATTTTGGGGGTTATCATATGGTACCAACAGTTTAGGAGTCAGTGGTCAAAAACAACATTTTTGGGTTGTTTTTTCCATAATTTTTGGGTTTTTTCTCCAAAAAATTTACCATTTTTACATTGATTATTTCTCATTTATATATAAATTATACAACAAATACTGATATGGCAGGAGATACACACGAAACAGGGTGTGTCAATTATTTTATCGGTAATTTGTGCATTTTTCCTTTGATGTGTACTTCTTGATAATGTCGACGTCAGTATCAGTGAACTGGTCAGGTTAAAGAAAATATTTTGGGTCAGTTTGCAATTGACATGTGGGAGTGCACCGCAAAAAGATCTTCTTTCCCTTTAATTCACAGAATTGCACTTGATTTTTTTCGCAGAAATGCACGAGTTATTTCATGAATGAAACACTTGTCATTGTTTGAAACTTTCAGTAATAAAAAGTTAGTTTAGCCTTTTTGAACGGAATACTGATTGTGTGAAAATTGGAACAGAAAATGTACGATAAACCTGATAAAATTGCGTTTTCTGCAGAATTATTGATAGCTTTCCTTACTATTCACAAGGACATATAACTAACATATCGTCCATGCTATTCCGATCTGAGTTTTTATTCATACATAGTCTGGCATGGCTGGTGTTGTTCCAAGTTGTCTTCTTTATCTGCATGTTTCTTGAGAAGTATTTGTTTGACCTGGTCAGTCACTATAAAGTGTTACAATTCATATTTAGACGCAACACATACATAGTGACCAAAAAGGTACCGCTTTCACATGTATGACATGAGAGAATCTAGAAAAAAAATTAAATGTACACATAATTTTCCAACATTTTTGCGGGACTATCATATAAAATTAAGGAGATATGTAGTTGGAGACTGCTGCTGAATAGAAATATTCGGGCTCACCTGATACCTGTTTTCAAATTAGTCCATATTAAAGTTTGAAGGGTCCAAAATTAAAATACGTTTGATTTCAACTGACATAAAATTTTTGGTGTTTTTTATATGCTAAATCTACATCTGCGGTTGTATTAGGCTGTGCTTGGCGAAGCATTTTATTGCTTTTTTGTTTGTACTTTATTTTATTTTGGTCATGACAATTAACTTGTAGTTGTGAAGTTGCTTACATTTTTAAAAGATGATAATTAGATAACTTCGCATGGTGACCTTTTCATAGATTTACTTTTTCCCGGGAATGCTTCATCTGTTGATATATTCTCATTGTGAACGATTTGTGTATATCTTAATATATAAACCGATGTTGAAAGACATGTATAATGTCAAATCATAACAATACAAATTGTTTAGTCTCAAAGAAAACTTGCAAGATTTCCGCAGTTATTTTTGTTGAATAGGTGCAAATTGGGTACTTGGTGCAATTTGGGAACTGTGACGTTATAGCCATAAGTGTTTATTGCTTTAATAGGTTGAAATGTACACCTGATAAAAGTATTCAGTAGAGGGAAAATGTTTTGATCAGGTTTAAACTGACGCATGAAATATACAGGCGACTGGGGTAGGCAATTATTTATATTGCATCCAAATAATGTGTCTACAGCTTGAATTTCAAAGGATGTAGCCCACATACTTCCAAGTAACATGCTCTATACCTATCAAAAGTCATGGTATTATCATAACTCCATCTTCCCATAAAATCCTATTTTGGACAATTATAGCTTCAGTGTAGCGATAAGTGAACACAACAGGGGTCCAGTTTAATGGTCAACCAGAGGCAGAGCACCGGATTTTACTACCTCCGGCTACGTTTCTCCTAGTCCAAATAATTATGACGTCTTGCAAGGCTATTTTAATTTTAAAATAGCCTTAATGGCAAGTGCAAAACGTCATAATTCATGTAATTATTTGGACTACGTTTCTCCCGAAATTTATTGCTTGCAGAGGGGTTTTCTGTGTTCCCATGGCTGGACGGAACTTTTACACTACAAATGTTATCATAAATTATGATATTGTAACTTTTAAATGAAGTACCTGTGGTTATTTAGGAAATTTGTCACTGATAATGGAAAGATGAAGCAGACGATAAAACATGGCGTAAGATGTTGTTGTCCAAAATTCGGTTATTTCCGTGGTACAATAAACTTTAAATAAACTACACAAGTTACTAAAATTTCTAAATTCTTGTTTTTTGTAAACAAATAAAAATTCATGTCGTATTTAACATCGAATTTATTCCGTTTTGTCCCGTTTTTTTCAAGATCGCGATTAAACGAGAAACTGGCAGCCATTAAAAATAAAAGGGTTAAACTAATGTCCTGACAATGTCCTGACGGATATTCCAATGCTAATTTCGTTTTCATTATTTGAAGAATGGACCCTATATTTGGAGCCAAACAAGAATACAATATTTTTTTAATAAATATGAGGAAAAAAAAGAAAAAAAATATTTTAAAGAGTTAGAAAACTTGACCTGATCAACTTCGAAAAATTAAAAAAAAAATCGTACGAGATTTAACGAGAGTGACGAAACTTTTTAGATTGATCATGTAGAGAGAGTTATCGTTCTTTATTCCAATTCGATGCTTCTACCATAAGTGCCAGCTAAAGCTGGCATAATATGAGGAAGGCGCTACCTTGAATGCCAGCTTACCAAAACTATGTCCTACATATTGATTGATTGTTGGTTTGCTTAACGCCCAGTGGCAAATATTTCATGCATGTTCAGGACGAATGTCCTACATATAGTTTTTGTCTAAAATAAAGTAATAAATTTAGATGGAAAATGTTTAGGGAAAGATCATTGAAATTCAAAAGGCAGAAGGGGGTATGGTATTTTTTTTTAGCTTTGGTGTGTCACAGGAAGGCGTCAAAGCAAAAATTTAAAATAGCCTTAATGGATGTCATAATTATTTGGACTAGTATTTTTCTTCAAAAATTGATGACAAAAAATACTCTGTTCAAGCAGAGGACAAAAAAAAATATTCTGAATCCAGATTTTCCCCATAGTATAGTGTTATATTTTGACTAAATAATTTTGATTGATAGCATTGAAGTGCTTCACGTGTAAAAAATCTGACTCAAACAAAAAACCATACCTCCCCCCTTTGAAGCTAAATTGTTGCTCCCTTATTGTTTTCTGCTGAAAATGAATTTATTGGTGATTTATATAAATGACAATGCTTACAATCATTAACTTGTGCATTTTCATATCCATTTTTCTTTCTTTGCAAATTTTACAAAATTTAAAACAATAAGACATTTGTTTAATTTCAAAACTATGAATACTGTTATACAATCCATAACTTCAATTAATTTTTTGTTGATTTTCATGAAAAGGTGGAGGAT